CGGCCCCCTCCTCGAGCCTGTCGCACAGACACAGGAGGAGGCCATTCAGTCCCCCTCCTTGAACCTGTCGCACAGGGACAGGAGGAGGCCATTCAGTCCCCCTCCTCGAGCCTGTCACACAGGAACAGTGGATGGCCATTCGGCCTCCTCCTCGAGCCTGTCACACAGGAACAGAGGAGGGGGCTGAATGGCCTCCCGCGAGTCTGTTACACTGGAACAGGAGGAGGTTGACCCTTTATTGAGCTGTATGTTACCCATTGTGTTGAGTACAGGGTTCTGACGGATTGTTTTTCTCTCCCTCCCCCCAACCTCAGGTCCAGCAAAGCCTTGAAGCACGAGCTGCTGCTGCAGCCACCGTGATGCCTCCTGTGCTTGGTCCTCCGTCACCGTTTGTTGGACCCGGTGAGTCACCGGCCTGTCACCATCTTCCCATCGCTCTGCCATCGGCCTTCAGCTGCCCCGATCTCCGGGACTCCCTCCTTGCCCATGTCTCCCTCTCTCTGTTTCTTCCTCTCATAGCATCATACAGCACGGAAACAGACCCTTCAGCCCGACCAGTTCGTGCCAACCATAATCCCAGACTAAACTAGTCCTGCCTGCCTGCTCCTGGCCCATATCCCTCCAAACCGTTCTTATTCATGTACTTATCCAAATGTTGCAACTGTACCTGCATCCATCACATCCTCTGGAAGTTCATTCCACACACGAGCCATTCCCTGTGTTTAAAAAAAATTACCTTTCATGACTTTAAATCTTTCTCCTCTCACTTTAAAACTGCACCCTCGGGTGTCGAAATCTGCCACCCTAGGGAAAAGACACCTGCCATTCACCTTATCTAAGCCCCTCATGATTTTATAAATCTCGCTCTGTCTTCAGTGACAAAGCTCCTTAAAAATCGATCATAAGTCTCCCACCTTGACTTAATTGGTCACCTGTCCCTGACGGTTTTTAACAGGGGTTACTGTCAAATTCTGTCTGAGAACATCAAACAGCAGTGAGCTTTGAACAGAAAAGGCGTTGTTAAACTTTGAAAGGGTTCAGAAAACTTTTTGAAGGATGTTGCCAGAGTTGGAGGGTTTGAGCTGCAGGGAGAGACTGAATAGGCTGGGGCTATTTTCCCTGGAGCGTTGGGGGCTGAGGAGTGACGTTATAGAGGTTCATAAAATCATGAGGGTAAGTAGTCAAAGTCTTTTCCCCAGGGTAGGGGAGTCCAAAACTAGAGAGGCATAGGTTTAAGGTGAGAAGGGAAAGATTTAAAAGGGACTGAGGAGTAACTTTTTCACACAGAGGGTGGTGTGTGTATGGAATGAGCTGCCAGAGGAAGTGGTGGAGGCTGGTACAATTACAACATTTAAAAGGCATCTGGATGGGTACATGGATAGGAAGGGTTTAGAGGGATATGGGCCAAATGCTGGAAAATGTGACGAGATTAATTTAGGATATCTGGTCGGCATACATAAGTTGGATTGAAGGGTCTGCTTCCGTGTTGTATAACTTTGAGAAGCGAGTCCGGGTTTTTGAATGGAGACAAAACTCTGGAAATGATGGGGTCCTGCTCTGAGCCATTGGTTTTCTGAGGAAGAGGGGAGGTTGGATCAGAGACATTTCAGCAACTGTTGCAGGAGCATCAGCCTCATTGGGCATTCCCGTGACTGTCGACATGACAGTTTCTCACCCACAGCTTTCTCTTCTCATCCACAGCAATGCCACCTCCAAGACAATCTCCAATTGTCAGACCCGTCTTTGTTCCTCACGTTCTCCAGAGGCCAGGTACGTGTATCTTAACCCAGTACTGTACTCCAGTGTTACTACAGCAACAGACCCGTCCCCACTGGTACTGTACCCCAGTGTTATACGGTGACTGACCCGTCCCCACTGGTACTGTACCCCAGTGTTATACAGTGACTGACCCGTCCCCACTGGTACTGTACCCCAGTGTTATACAGTGACTGACCCGTCCCCACTGGTACTATACCCCAGTGTTACACAGTGACAGACCTGTCCCCACCTGTACTGTACCCCAGTGTTACACAGTGACAGACCCGTCCCCACTGGTACTGTACCCCAGTGTTATACAGTGACTGACCCGTCCCCACTGGTACTATACCCCAGTGTTACACAGCGACAGACCTGTCCCCACCGGTACTGTACCCCAGTGTTACACATTGACAGACCTGTCCCCCACGGGTACTGTACCCCAGTGTTACACAGTGACAGACCTGTCCCCACGGGTACTGTACCCCAGTGTTACACAGTGACAGACCTGTCCCCCACCGGTACTGTACCCCAGTGTTACACAGTGATAGACCTGTCCCCCACCGGTACTGTACCCCAGTTTTATACAGTGATAGACCTGTCCCCCACCGGTACTGTACCCCAGTTTTATACAGTGATAGACCTGTCCCCACCAGTACTGTACCCCAGTGTTATACAGTGACAGACCTGTCCCCCACCAGTACAGTGACTGACCATCACGTGTCTGTTATTCTGTTCAGTCACAATGATGGAGTGGGCCGTTGTGTTTGTGGTCTCCTGTCTTTCACAGTGGCTCAGCTGTATCACCCTGTTTGTTGTTTCCCAGCTGGGCCCCGGATGCCCCCGATGAGGCCGCCGCCTCCCCCTCCATTGATGGGACCTCCGATGCGCACACCTCCCCCGCTACTGATGGGCCATCCCATGGCCCCACCCCCTCCAATGGGTCCGATGCATCCAGTGCGGTATTCCAACGTGAGTATGTCTGTGTGTCTCGTACAGCCGTGTTTTCACTGTTAATCTCATCCTCACCGTGAAATGTTAACTTCACCGACCTGATACTCAGTTCCCATCTCCGTATCCCTCAGTTAGATCCACACTCGGAGCACTGTGCACAGTTCCAGTCCCAGTATCCCTCAGTCAGACCCACACTCTGAACACCGTGCACAGTTCCAGTCCCAGTATCCCTCAGTTAGACCCACACTCGGAGCACCGTGCACAGTTCCAG